GGTTCACAGAGCCTACTTGAAGCTCAAAAAAATGCTTTCCGGGTGCTCTTCAATAATTGTAATGTCATCCGTTTTTTTTCAGCCAATCAACTTTAGATAAACTCTTGTTTGATAAAGTAGCATTTAACCGCTCCATAAGTTCTGTACCATTTATTTGCGAGCTTACATCTGCATAAGCTATTGCAATACCTGGTAATTTTTGTTTCAATAACTGCTTATTAATAGCAGAATGTATACGGTTTACTAACTTAGATGTATCATTTGCAACGATAATAAAAAGGGCTTTGTTATTATCTATGTATCCTATAAAATCATCACTACGGCAATTTCTATAAAAATGCTCTATAGTAACCTTCAATGTACTGTCTGTTTCATAAACATTAAAAAGTTTGATTTCTTTTGTTACTGAAGCTCTTTTGAATATATCTAATTCCAAAGACTGCTCATCATGCGCAAACTTTGAAAAAGATTTATTATCTACCCTAATCATTCCTACTACTATATTAATTTGATGTTGAGAAGCAAAATTTAACATAACATGTAATTCCAGCATTGTAGAATCATTATTCAATATACCAAATGAATTATGATTTTCATACCTTCTACCTGCCAAATAGTTATCCCTAAAAATCCTTAATTTATGAAATAAACTAATATCGCGTATTAATAATTCATAATTTATCTTGTTGCTAGTAAATTGCATAGTATGAAAAACTTTTACCTTTACCTGAATATCCTTACCTTTACTGTCAATTAAAGAGAAGTTTATTATTTTTGGTAAGATATCAAACAAATCACGTCCATTTTCCGTATAATCCAAATAATCACTTATGCTATCAGCCACTCTCGCACTTAAAATCTTAACTAGCGGTTTATTGAGTAAATCTTCTTTTTTATATTGTAACAAGTTCTCTGCAGCCTGATTTACCGATAAAATTAACACAGTTCTCTGCTCATTATCTTGACAAACAGAAACTATGGCATCATCCCTCCTCCGTGAAGTT